GGTTTGCAATATCTCTCTTCTATCAATATCCAATGCTTATTGAAAATATTTGTTGCCTGAGACTAGGAGAACATTTTCTTAGAGAAAATAAGAAAGGAAATGTAATTACAGTGTTGCAAAATAAAAGAGTAGCACATTCTCTGTCAGCTATGAATTTATTGTATTTCAAATGTTCCATGAACTGGAAACATTTCAAACATCCTGCAAATGAATGATGCTATACTAAGAAGTAGAAAATCATAACCAGATAATGTCAGGGAGAGGAACTGGTTTGAAAAGCAGTGCGACAGTTTAGAATAAGCCCATGTGATGCGGAAGCAAGCATGGTCAGGGAGAGGATCCTAGGGAGTCTGGAAATGAGAAAGGGAGCACCTGTCTTTTGGTCTCATCATTTTGAACCCACCTGCTAACTGTTGGCAAATGATGGATGCTCACATCTTATTTTCTTTGTGTTTAATTATGTTGGAAGGGAAAATGAGAGCATATATTTAGAAGAACCAGTTTTGTTATGTAGAGTTATAATTTTAAACCTCCTAAGTGGGGATCAAAGATTTTCCTAGATGTTAACCTAAATTCATCCTGATTGGGAGATGGGTTTCAGGAGTGATCAAATATCAAAATGCTTCCAGGCACTCTTGACTGTGAGCCTCTACAAACCTAGCTAATTAAGTTACCTATTCTAAAAAGCATTTTGTCATTTTTAAACACATACCTCAAAGCTTTGTGCACTATGGCTGGCATTGCAATTATCATGAATTGATGCAGGAGAAAAAAATGTTGACTAGAGTTGTTCTATTCGATTGTTAGGATCACATCTATAATACACTGTCTAGTTTTGACAAACTTTTGTTTGTTCTGTTTATGGCTTTTCAATGCAACAAATTTATGAATAACCTTACAGGACATGGAGTCATGAATGGGTGTTGATGGGGATCTTGGGAAAAATCAAGAGGCTGTAGGAAAGTGTGCAGGGCACCTGGGGCTCTCCTAGGTTGCAGAGAGGTTGTTGGGAGACTTTGAAAAGCCTGTGTTCACATGGACAGAATGGTTTGGGTAGATCCTGGGAAGAGTTGGGAGTTTGGAATTGTGCACTGTTCATAACTTCCACAATAACCTCCATGGTTCAGCCCAGGATGGATTGCCTTTAGTGTGTCTACCCCAGGCCAATGAGCAAGTCAGTGATAATGCTGAAATTAAGCTTTACTATAAAATATTTTATTGAAAATAATTTCTTTCTTTTTAGATTTGGTTTCAAAATAAAAGATGCAGACTACGACTCAAAGAGAAACAGAGAGCGGTTGTCACCAGGAGGAGACATGAGTTCCCTGTTTTAGTTCAGCACGAGGCCCAGATGCAATATGACAACAGCGCCACTGCACAGCCTTCTTGCCTCCAGCAGGCTCCACAGAAAAATGCTGGCTCCTTTCCTGTGGAGACACGGGGACGCCCCCGTGAAGAGAATGGCTCCTTTGACTCTTTTGTGTTAGATAGACAGCAAGTTGCTAGAGAGCAGCCCAGTTCCCCAAAGCAGCAGGTCTGGGGTGAGGGCTATGAACTATTTGATGGCTTGCCTTTGCCCTGTGTCAATAGTGCCCAGGGAAAGATGCAGCAGCAGCAGGACATGGACCTCTTTGATCTGTGGGAACCACAGCAGCAGAGTGACTGGGGATATTATAATCTACAGCTGCAACAGCCACAGAGTTATCAAGAGAAGCTGCCTGTTCAGGACCCACTTCTATTGTCTGAGAAGCACAATGTCTTGGGGCAGCAGTTGCCCTCATTTCCACAAGAGCAGGATGAGGATTCTCAAAAGAACGGAGAGGACTCAAGGTCTCAGATTGAGTGCACATCTACTCCACAAATGGAGTTAAGTGTTCTTCCAGAGCCTATTGCATTAGATGGACAGCAAGTTGCTAGAGAGCAGCCCAGGTCCCCAAACCAGCAGGTCTGGGGTGAAGGGTATGAACTATTTGATGACTTGCCTTTGCCCTGTGACAATAGTGTGCAGGCAATGATGCAGCAGCAGCAGGACATGGACCTCTTGGATCTGTGGGGACCACAGCAGCAGAGTGACTGGGGATATTATAATCCACAGCTGCAACAGCCACAGAGTTACCAAGAAAAACTGCCAGTTCAGGACCCAATTCTAATGTCCCCAACTGAGCAGAGGTATGAAACATTTGATGACTTGGCTGAAATTTTAACTGAAGTCCTTGGCATTGAGTTTAGGGACCTATAGTCAGAAGGCATCCTGTAGTCATGCTCTCAGGGTCAGAGCTAAGAGTCTCTTGAATGTGCACATAAAGATGCTCAGTGTAGGAAATTTTCTTGAAAACAACAACAAAAACAAACAAACAAAAAACTCAAAAAAAATCACAAATGCCCTAGAAAATTAAAAAAAAAAATAAAAACAGAAAAAAAAAAACTCCCCCAATACTTCATACATCCCCCTTTATCCCAACTAACAGCCCTTCCTCACAGCTTCCTGAACTCTCAGTGTCTTCTGGAGGGGTAGCAGTACCCACCAGTCATAGATCCCTGACTGTGCCTCTCCTAGTGCTCTGGAGAAAGTTGGACTCATGCAGCCACTGCCACAGCAACAGGCACAAAGACAGCACTTGCCAGATTCAAACCAATGTGTGCTTAGGTAGATCCATCTTGCACAGCCTGTCTCACAAATTATCTCCACCTTGGAGATAAGGTCCTCTACAGTGCCTTTGTATGGCAGGGTCTGCAGGCTGCTGCTCTCCTCCCTGAAGCAGAGCAGCATCTTCAGGATATTATAGTCTGCCAGGACAGCCTGGACCCTCTGAAATTTGACAGTGTCATTGGTATCACAATGGATTTTCATGTGTGTCCACCGTCACCAACAAACCCACAAAAACCAAGCCAGGACTTTATCAAGGAAGACATCTCAGCCAGGATTGCTTGACAAGAATTTACAAGAGTCTGCTGGAATTCAGCCTTTTAGAACAGACTTCTGCAGCAATGTATGTCCAAAAACTGTTTAGCTTGAACTTACATCTCTCTTGTTCTTTACTACAGTTGCCAAGACTTATTATTTGGAAATATGTGTTGTAGTTCTTTTTACCTTTGCCTTTAAAAATCTCCCCCAGCCCTCAACTTTCCCACTGTGCTCACAGTGAATGTGCCTGGGGTGTCCTGTGGCAGGCATGTGCCTGTTGCTGTGACATTCGATTTCCAATTCACATTCTTGGCAGAATCTTTCTTGGGCCATAATTGAGTTGGATACCTCCATCCTCCTACATGGGCTACCTTTTGTGTTACATGGACAGCAAGTTGCTAGAGAGCAGCCCAGGTCCCTACTGAAAGCAGAACTTGTATTGAAGCCACAGGTTCAGCTACTACAACTTCAAGAACTCCTGGAGGCTCCTGCACTGAGATGAGAGCCCCTGTTTGTGAATCCAGAGTGTTCTGACAGTCACCTGGGCATGCAGGTCAATGATATCTGAGGGTGCCCAGGGGAGACTTTGGATATTGTTGATCTGAGTTTTTGAGAGAAACTTTGAAGACAGCGGTATCACAGAACTTTTCACTTGGAACCAGGTTCACAATTTGGGACTCTAGGACATAGAACACCTTGAAGTCTTCCACCACAGAGTTTCCTGTCTCTCCAACAGCTCCTGTGGACCCAGCTCTGCAGACTACATCCCTCAGACCACTAGGGGGCGGGGCACCATTCACACATGCAGCTGGAGATGCTCTTCCTGAATATCCTGTTGACTCCTGGGGTGTTTTGTGTAGAAGCAGGCCAAGGATAGAGTATTTTTTGTCAGTCCTTTTCATTTTGCTATCATTATGTTTGATTACTAAAGATGCTACACTCGTTCTTGTCATTTAAGCAACACCAAGACTAGTGAAGAAATCTTGCATTTATGGTTGTCCTTTGCCCACCCTCTTGGAACCATTGTGAAGAGTTTCAGATGCTATGTTTGTCGTGTATCTCACATTTATTTAAGTGTGAAATTCTGAAATGATATTAAATGACAAAATAAAATGTGTTTTGCATGCATTTCAAAGGCATGTAGCAAACAAACCTTTATTTTGTAAATATTTTCCTGCATAGAATGAGACTGAGAATAGGTGGATAAATAGCAACTCTAACAGGGGGAATGTCTTATTTGGACAGTCACTTGGAATGTTGATTGAAGTGGCAGATGCCTAGCAATTCTGCTTCTAGATGTTTCCACAGGAAAATGCTATCTTTTCTTACAGAACACTGAATCCCCAGATAAGAATGTTCACATAAAGTTATCAAGTTAGCCACATAAAGTTATCAAGTTAGCTGTGTTAATTTTCCCCCACAACAGCTAATAGCTGTGATAATGCTTATTCTAAGATTTTTTTTTTTTTTTGATGGCCTAAATGTTGAATCCATGGGTCTTCTCCACTTAGCTAGTTTTCCAACCCTCTTTATTTTTGGTTACACAGAGTTGCTTAGGTGGTTTTGAATTTGTGACCCTCCTTCCTAAGCCTCCAGAGTTGTTGGAATTATATTTGTTGTCCACTTTACCAGAATTATTTCTTGGTTTTGGAGTTTCAGTACCTAGTCAGTGACCATGAATTTCTCATACTTGGTTGGACATTCCACAGTAGTTTAGCTCAGTGGGAAATTATCAAAGAATACTTAAATCCACAAGAATTCTTATAGCTCAAAGTTAGGGATTGGTTGCCTATTATTATGAATTTAGGATTAGAAACACACACACACACACTTTGATTTCTTGTATGTTAGAGCACAAAGTAATAAAGTATAAAATGCAAAACATCAAACCCTCCCTGTCACTAATTTCCTCTGCTCAATAATTCCAGTTCAGTTCCCACAGCATGGTGGACACTTCCTATTTCCTGTCTACATATTCCCTGTATTTTTAGTATGCATGGAGAAAAAATATAAACATGGTATCAAATAATAAGTATTTTGGTTTTATTTTTTTTTTATTTTCTAATAAGACTAAATTTATTCAGTAACCTAGTAAAAGTTTTGATTATAAGTATCCAACAGTATAAAAAGTACAAAACAGTTCTGTAGATTTCTAATATATTAATACAAAGTGCATGACTACATACAGTACATCCTACAGGCAAAGAAAGGTGGAAGGGGAAAAAGAAGACTGTGGTTGAGGTCTAGTAATAAATAAATAAATACAGAAGTAGAGAGAGATGATCCATATTATAGTATATTCTACCACCAATACTGCAGCCAAAATGTACAAAAAAAAACCATTTCAAAATAACTCAGGAGAATGATAATGGCTGGACTCTTGTAATACACCTCAAAGGCTATGGGAGAGCCAACCCAACTCACTGTGTAGTCTGTGCATATGGTGGCTTGTAGCATGTAGGTATTTCCTCAAAAGGAAGAAATATAAAATAAGTTTTAAAGAACTATAAAACTATAGGGTACCCATAAAAAGTGGCTCACTCCTTACTGTGATGCTATCCAATTTTTATAATCCAGTTTTAAAAATAAGCACTGAGTTATGTTATTACAAGGCAGACAAATATTCCTCCCTCATGTATGGAAAGTTTGAACTGGTGCTATTTTTTTCCTGAATTTTTAGAAAAGAAGCAATAAGAATACTTTGGTTTGGGTTCAATAAGAGGCTTTTAATAAGGATTTTAGAATTAAAAGCTCCAGTTTCAGCATTATCTCAATGTTCAGAAAGACTGACTATAAAAGAAGCCAAACGAACACTAACCCCCCCTTAGCATGAACCCACCTTTCTTCTTAGTAAATTTTACTTTTAAATAGTGAAAAAAAAAAAAAAACCAAAAGCCCAATAGGTTAAAACAAGTCAAACACCTACTCTATGCAGATAGAACCTTCACAAAGGTCAACTGAAGTAATCCAGAGCTAAAACTGAATTGTGAAGATTTCAATGAAGTCACCAGTCATGTAACACAAATAAAGTCAATTATTTACACACTCGGGCAAGCCCGACAAGCAACGTGCCCAAGAAGCATTAACCTTTGTTTTGTGCCATCCTGAAGACTTGCACATAGTTTAACATTTTGAAGAGTGTGTTTTCCACGGTGTGGTAATGCTTTGGTACTATTCATATAAGATCTCATCTATCCCACCTACTCACCTCTTCTCCAAGAGGAGATTTCATTCTGCTTGAAAAGTTTCACATAAATTAAAATCTTTAACAAATATTAATATGAAGGAAGGTGACACAGGATGCAACACATACAGTCAAGCTTCTCTCTATATAATTAGAAATTACTTCCTCCGTCAAGGTATTTGCACCAAAAAGCTCAGTCTGTCCTGCTTAATCATCAGTAGTACAGGTTTGATTCATCATAAAGTTGGAGAGACTCAATTATATCAAAATTATTAACAACTACCTCTAGGGGCAAGACATGTTATTGAGTTATGACAAGTCTACTAACATGAGGGAAAACAAGTGTAGCCAGCCATCTTTAAAAAATGCCCCAACCACTGCTTCTCAATATAGAAAGACTAAAAACTACATATGGTTTATCATACAACAAATCCCATCTGTGTCCCCTGAAATTCCCCTAATTTAATTCATTAGAAGGGGATTATTTAAAAAAAAAAAAGACTTAAAGAGCACTATACAGCAGCATTCAGCTTTCCTATGAAATACTCAGCATCTTAAATATTATGTACACTTCTTTTTTCTTTTAGTAAGCTAGACACTGGCTTCAAAGTTTATGGGACTGGAGGAAAAAATAACCCATTCAAAACTATTCTAGAAAATTGTCTTTTGGCAGAATAGCAGGTATCCAAGTTAAAAATAGTAAGGTCAGTTTGTTGCTTTGTGGTCTTTTCAAAATTTAAATCATTTGTTCCCCTTCTACATAAACCTCAGTCACCACTCCTGAGTGGAGATGGGCAGAGGTTCGGGCCCCTGCTCCTCTGGCTTCTCTGCAGCTGTCTTCTTATTGCTGCAGCAAGGCTTGAATAGATGTGTGTCAATGAGGACTTCTCCAAAACGGCCTTTATAGATAATCCCACAACAAATTTTCTGTCTTTTCCAGTAAGTAAGATCTAAAAAGGAAAAAACTGGTGTTCTATTAGAGCCAGAAGCCATTTCTGTATCTGAGCCGTCATCTGACTGGTTACTATAACAAGGAGATTGAGCTGGGGAGGCACTTGAGGTGGTACTGTGAGCATCAGAATTGTGACGTTTAAATTCCTTCTGCAGTTTACTGATCTGGTTGCTTTTTATCCTGTTTCCAGATAGAGTTTTTACTTTCTTTGGTTTCAAAGTAGTCTTTAGACTAGGTCCTGCTCTTGCGTCTACCACATGATTCCAGTTTTTTTTTGAACCTGCTGGTAACTTCTTCCATCTTTTCACAAGAAGAACACAGGCATTACAGATGTCTCCTGAACGAGTCTCATGCAACCCAAAACAGCTCTGGAAGTCCTTTTCATAACGTTTACTATCAGTGAATCGAGAACTGGAGGACTTAGCTCTGCAAATACAGCAACCTTCTATACTTCGGTACATCTTTGGCTTGTGAAAACCAAACATCTTTTCTTCTGGGCAAAAGCCTTCCCAAAACTGCCGATCCACGCGCAATAGCGTCCCCGAGGTGCGGAGTGCACACCAGGCCAAACCCCTCCAAGCGCTCCCTCCTCAACTGCCTTGTCTAGAAAGATTGTCTCCTGCAGTTCTGCAGTTGCTACCGCCGGACGGGAAGGTGTAGATTCCTCTTTCCCTCTCAGTATTTTGGTTTTAAATTCATGTCTACATGAGTGCTAGCATCGAACCTTGGGAGATCACTAAAAATTTGGAAAAAGTTTAGGAAAATGAGTACACATAAATCTACTTTATTCCATGTAGGAGTTACAAAGGATCCTGTGGATGGACATAACATTATTTATGCAGACAGTGCCCTATTCATGTTTCTTTTTTCCCCCCAATATAAAACATGCTTCATGAACATACATCTTTTTAACAGTTGCATGTATTTATTTATTTAGGTACTGGGGATTAAACCCAGAGACATTCCACCATTGAGCTATATCCCCAGGCCTTTTCAAGTTTTTATTTTGAGACAGGAGCTCACTAAGTTGCAGAGTTGTCTGCCCCTGAACTTGTAATCCCTTGCCCCAACCTCTGGAATACTTGAGATTACCAGCATGTGTCACAGTGCCTGGCTTCCTACATTTTAATAGCAAATTTATAAAAACAGCACAGAAGATGGACAGTATTAAAAACCTGCACTAGCATGTGGGACAACTCAGAACGGCATAGTGAGGGAAATCCACTGTATGATCACAATTCTACAAATGACATTTAGTGGCTGTCAGTAAGAAGTTAACTTAGTTTGTAAACAATCAAAAAGCTGCCACGGTCCAAAAAAAGAAAAATAATAGTAGACCTTTATAATCATCATACAGCTGAATTGCCAGAATTTGTTCATTGAAACATTTTGATGTGCATTAATGCTTTGCATATTTAAAATTTACATAAAAAAAATCACACACAAATAAAAATGGAAAAGCTGCCAATACCTGATTCCTGTCCCCTAGTTTTCTACTTATAATCATCCACTGAGGCACCTTTTGACACCCTGGGGACAGAGGGGATGTTTAACATCAGACCTACCAATAGTGGTTTGGTTTGTTGTTTTTGAGATGCTGTGAATAAAACCCAGGGTCTCATGCATGGGAGGCTTTCACACAGCTACACATACACCCAGCCCCAGAGTAGGTTCTTACATAAGTTCTCAATGTGTCAGAGTGCTATTTGGAGGTCATTTGGCATAACTACTGAACCTTTGGCATGGATAGCAAAGATCTTATTTGTGTCTTCTAAAAAGCCAACCAGAGAGTCTTCATTTGCCTCCCACCAAGCAGAATAGCTGCCCTGTGGAAGCACAAATCTGTTTTTAAATCGGAGCAGTTTCTCACACCAGACACTGGAAGAAGTGTTAATAAATCTGAAATTTAGTGGACAAACTAGATGTCAAAGCACCATAACACTGTCTCTACACTAGAGGGTGATCATTTCAAGCGATTTTTGTAGCCAAGTGCTTCTTGGGGGTTTTACCACTTGTGGTTTGGGAGGTAGTGGGCTTTGATGGAGGACTCGTTTTGAGACCTTCTTGCTGCCTTCTACTGGAGGTCAGTGCACTTGAAGTAGTGCAGGCGTTAGAGAGGGAGGGCAGCTGTAAATACCACATTTCTTTTCTTTCTCTCTCTCTCTCTCTCTCTCTCTCTCTCTCTCTCTCTCTCTCTCTCTCTCTCTCTCCTATGCTGGGGATTGAACCCAGGGCCTGCATGTGCTAGGTAAGTGTTCAACCACTGAACCACATTCCTAGTCCCCATTTTCGCGTATTTTGGAAAGACTAGATTCCTGGCCTGGCAATCACAGAATGAGAGAACCTTTATGTTTTGTCCAAAGGGCAAACACTGCCCCCAACTCTCACTAAACCACAGATGAGCCAGTGCGCACCCAACTCTGACATCACTATCTGGTTGGAATAGTGTGGAGGAGGTGTCCTTTACATAAAATACTTCTGGAGCACCAGTACCTGAGGTCACAGACCCAGGTGTCCAGGGCTGATCCCCAACACCTAATTTTTTTTTTTTTTTTATAAAACCATCCTATGCTTCAAAATGGTATCTTCTTGTCGGTTTTATTTAGTTGCTGCTATTTAGAAGTAAGATTGGGTTGCATTTGATACTCAAATAATTTTCTCTTCTATTTTTCCCCTTTTCTTTGTATATTCTGATTATTAATGTAAATGCCTTTTATTGGTGTTGGCAATGTTTTCCCCAGACCTCCCTTTAACTATCTTTTTGGTGTCTTTGCTCAGGAAGTTTAGATATTAGGTAGCCAAATTTCTCAATTTTTTTGTGACTTCTAGAGTTTACAATTTGCTTATGATTCCACACTTCAAAATTATAAAAATGATTTCCATTATTTTCTTCAAGTAGTTATAAAGGTTGTTAAAGATGTAATCTCTTTTTCATTTATAATATTTCTGTGGTTTTTGAAATGTATTTAAAAAATATTTCTAACTTAAAGTTTTTTTCCTGAAATGGACATCTAAATATCCTCCTGCTCTAATTTGTAGGCTATCCTTTAGCTGCAAATTTTCTTTCCTTCTTTCTTTTTGTATTGGGGATTTAACACAGGGGTAATTTACCAATGAGCTACATCCCCACATCCCTGGACTTTTAATTTTTTTATTTTCAGTGTCTCACTATGTTGCTTTGAGCCTGGTTAAGTTTCCAGGCTGACCTTGAACTTGTGATCCTCCTGTCTCAGCCTCCCAAGTCAGCCAAGTCATTTAACTGAGAATTGAAAATAAATTAAATTGTTGCTGACTATTCATTCCCAAATGGTATTCTGAAAATTTTTCAGGCCGCCATTACTGTCTCATAGTTAAAGAATCAAAATTCAAAATAATGATATTATTTCAATAAATACTTAACTATTGAAATTAAACAGCCATTGATGACTTATCAATAATGATAAACTCTAAGGTATAAGTTAAGGGACATATCCATGGAAAATTACTTCTTTATTAATCAAACAGTTGACACATGCATAGAGGATAAAGGACAGCTGTGTTCCTTTTTTTATCTTTTTTTCAGAGGATTGAACCAAGGTGCTGTTAACCCCTGAGCTGCATGAACAACATCCCTAGCCTTTTTTTTTATATTTAGAGACAGGTTCTTGCTAAGTTGTTTAGGACCTCTCTAAATTGCTGAGCCTGGCTTCGAACTCTCAATCCTCTTGCCTCAGCCTCCCAGCCGTGGGAATACAGACATATGCCTCCTTTCATGGTCTTTGTTCTTTCTTACACCAGGAAAATGTAGAGATGCTGACATTGAATTAATTAATTAATCAAGTACTCATGGGCAGTTCAATGCAATAAAGGACAAATCAAAAGAGGCAGTATTGTGAAGGAGACAAATTATTGCTATTAGTAGAAGATTTGCTTACCTAGAAAATATGGTAGGACCAGAACTACTTGAATGATTCCATAAACTGCCTGAATTTATGGCAACTGTGTGTTTCACACTTAAAGAAACCAGCCAAATGTATATGGGATATTTCTGGGCAAGAAGACAGTAAGGGCCCAGTTTCCTAAAGTTCAACATTCTCTCTCTAAAAATGAGCCATCAAATTCAAAATTGGAAAGAATGGCATCAGTGAAAGTAACTAAGTGAATATACCCACCAGGTGCCAGGCCACAAAGCACACTGGTGGCCAGCAAGTACCATCATTTATTATTATTCTGTCATTTGCTGGATGCCTTCTCTAATCTCAGTGGTGTTTTGGACTCTGCATGCCTTATCTCATGTAATCTTTGTTCCAGGTATGTATCTTCATCCCCATTTTTCAAGGAAAATGTATGAATATATTTAATCTAAAGTCAGAGAATCACAACTTCCAGGTTGGAGGGCACTCAGGTCTGCCTGCAAAATCCACATCTTCAGCATTATGGAGCCTCTTAACTCTCAGGTCCGAGGAAAATCATAGATAATCAGGGAATGTGAAGGGTGAACCAGGTGAGAATGAAGCTACTGGGATATTTGGGAGTCTCTAGCCATAAGCCTCCTGCTGACAGGAAAGAACACTCTTGGCCTAAGCTAATGAGGCACCCTTGATGCAGGAGCCTCCAGTCTCTCTTTTCTTTAATGCTCCCTTACCCTGCAGGTTGCTTTGAAACCCATGCTGAATGCAAGGTGAGTCTGGGAGGGTCGAGGAGGTGGCCCAAGGTACACAGAGAATATTTAGAGGTGTGGGGATTTGCCCCCATGGTGCCAGGTTGTACCAGTGCCCAAGGTGTGTACTCAGGTTTGCAGCCTGCTCTGGGGCTTGCTCCCATTGCTCATGCCCAAAGCCAGGGTCCAAGGGAAACAGGAAGCTGGGGGTGGCCCTCTCTGAGCACAGGCATGGGGTGAGAGACTGCCCAAATGGAAAGCCTCCTGGCTGGGAGTGCCTGAACCACAGGATGCGTCCTTGTGTTTGGCTTTTGGCACCAGGAAGGATTTCCAGATCCACAGTGAGACCCAGCCAGGAGAGTGCTCAGTCATGCCCTACGAGGCAGCCTGCACTTTGCCTAGGAGGCTGCTAGCTGAGACACAGCAAGCTATAGCCAGAGAAGAGAACCAGGACATCCTGGGCAGGGTGGGGAAAGGAGGGAGAGAACTTGGAAAGTTGAGGTTTAGGAAGCTTTTTGGTTGTTTATATTTTGTTTTTATTCTACCATCTTTTTAGTATGCAGTCCCAGACTCCTGCCAGGTGGGAAAAGATATAAGAGGAGAGGAGAGGAGAGTCTGCTTGGTACAGGGAGAAGCGAAATGCAGGGTGAGCATCAAGGTGTAGTGTTAATAAATATTGTAAAAGTAACAACAGCTCAAATGCCACGATTCAGCCATTCTGACTTTGTGTTAAGCTCCTGTGAAGTTGTGTAGAGTGTTTCTCAGTCCATCCCATCAAGGGCTGGGATGTAGCTCAGTGGTATGGCCAGCTCCCCTGGGCTCAATGCCCATTAATGGGGGGAAGGAAGAGGTTTGATAAAGGTGATGGCTGCATATCTCTCTACTGTAAAAGTTTCCTTTTGTAATAAATATCTCATGGGAGATGCTTTAATACTATGTAAATATCTTATCATCATATTTTTACCTACTAACCCTTTCATTCATTGCTGATTTCTGGCTCACTCTTCATGAACAC